TTGTTGTATCACTCCAATGTCTTCATCTTCTTGACATGGTCCAAATGCATCTTCATCAGGGGGAAAATCATACAAATCACGAGGTTTTGTCTTGATTACAACTTGCCAATTTGGGTCTTTTATATTTGGAACATAATATACTTGTTCAGCCTGAGTAGCCAATGCAAAAGGTTCATTAACACTGCTTTTCAGTTTACGAGTGACATTTACTAGCGTGAACCCATATTTATCTTCCTTACAACCTCTACTAGAAACATCCCACCAATCACACTTGAAAAGAACAACTGTATGCCCTTGATAATCTAACTCTATAATATCAGTTAATACTCCAAAATAATCAATGTTCCTGGTGCCTTCATCTCCTTTGACAAATACTCCACTGTTTTGTGTTTTCAATTTCATATCATGATCTTTTGTACAAAATTTCCAACCATTAACAAGATAACTAGCATGTTTAGTTACCCTTTGGTCAGGTCCACAAGCTAAAATTTCAAGTTCCTCATTATATACCTCACTTTGTTCATATTTCAGATGAAACACCTAAATAAAAAGACAAAGAAACAAACATTTAAAAATGAATCATAAAGCAATAATAATTCATGAATTTATGTTTACTATTTTTAAAAACTAGAATGCCAAACCTCACAAGGAGCCAAATCCTTAACTACCAAATTACACTGCACCTATTCTTTGTTGTGGCTGTGACAGCAAGTTTGCACATACTTTATTGGTATTTTTAAAGAAATGGAGATTTAAAGAACTAGAATTCCTGAAACAAATTTAGTTCAGTTTATTTCTTGTTTTTTTGTTGCATTTTAATTCTAGTTTGTCTTCATGCTTAATTGCTCTTGGTCAATGCTTTTAGAAAATGTACTAAAAGTTTGGGAAAAGCTACTTTGTTCACATGGTTGCTACTCTTTTTTTTTGTCCATTGTACCAGACATGTACATATTTCAAGTCTGGATGAAATCGTTCAATTGTTTTGCTCTCCATCTTCGTTACTTTTCTTCAGACAATGTAAACACTTTACATGGGATCAGAGCCTACTCTGATCCTTGAGCGGCCATGAGTTTTGAGTAAAAAAAAGAAGAAGAAATTTCGTCTCTTTTCTGATTCCATTTCTGTAGATGGATTCCAACATCAACAATTTGAGGGATCTAGTTTTTTCAAGGCAAAATTATACAGCCTGTGTAGTAAGAATGAGAGCTTACATCAAGGCCTTTGATTTATGGGATGGGGTGGAAAGAAACAAGGAGCCAAAGAGAGAGAACAAAAGAAAAAAAGAAAAAAAAAGAAAAAAGGCCTGAACAAACAATCACGGTAATTTGTATTCATGACTGCGAGATATGTTTCGCACTAAAATGAAAGTTTCGATGACAAGAATTTCACTTTGAGGTTTCAGAATCGAGGAGCCAAGAGTAATGACTCCTCTACCAGCAAACGCCATTATTGCAAAGATGAAAATGCACACTGAAGAAGAAACAAAAAAATATATAATGCTCACACCACTTTGCACTCAACTGTGACTGAGAAAAAACTCTAGAAAAGACTTGGATTTTAGGCCTCAAATCTGGTAAGAGTGATCTGGGTTTTGTATAAAACATATACATAGTTAGCACTCTACCATCTACCATTTTTAGACTGATTAGTGGTATGTTTATGACTTATTATGTCTTA